CATTTTTGTGAATGTTTGAAAGTTCTAAGAAAAACATGCAAAAATCTTTTAACTTCTAAAACATGCAACTCATTTAATGTGTAATTCAGTTGTTTTAATCCAAAATACTCACTCTCTAATAACATAAATAAAACCTTCTAAAATATATATGTTGTAAATACAATGGAATTTTGGAGAATCTATAGGTAACAATGTTCAAAAACACTTGTCTTCCAACAGACAACATGCAGAGAGACCAGCCACCTTTTATTGGAATATTGAAGAAGAATTAAAGAAATACTTTAACTGAAAGCTACCAGAAAACACTTGGAAAGATCAAAATATATTTATGTCCTTGGCTAAAAACCAAAACAGTCCCTCAGCACATGAGAGACAGAATGAAACACCTTGTAAAATGCTGAAGGAACAGATTCCTTCCTTGCTGAAATCACAGGTGTGGGAGTTAAATACCTTGTTCTCAGACACCTATTCTGCCTCTATTACCAGCCTTGGATTTGAACAAAGCCAAATCACACACTCAGATATTAAACTACTGACCCCTCCATTAAAATGAAAACAGCCTGAAACAAGTGGCACTCACACATAATCCCAGCTATTCAAGAGACTGAGGAAGATTGAAAGTTTGAGGCCAGCCTCAACCTCAGTGAGACTCTATCTCAAATTTAAAAATAAAAAGGGACGGGGTTAGAGGTCAGTTGGTAGAGCACCCCTATTCAACCCCAAGTAGTACCACCAAAAAAAATTTTTTTTTAATTTTTTTAATCTAAATTCTACTTATTCTAGCCACAGCAACCTGATCAACCACAATTAAGGGAATGCTTAACAGAGTTCTAGAAAGAGAACATGGCTACTGAGAGTGGCAACTTAAGTTTTTCAGTTTCCTATCCCATCCCATCCCCTCAATGACCCCAAGACATGAACACATTAACTTCACCTAGTGATGAACAGGTTTCCTGCCTGCAAACACATCCTTGGAGCTTCCTGTGGATAAGGAAGCTCTTTATCAGCTCAGTGTTTGGAAGAGCAGAACTGTAAGTCAGCAACATCCTGAGGCTTCTAGTCTAGTTTCGCCCTAGGATTCACCTAGCTTTGTAAGGTGCTTTCTCAGCAGGAGTAAACCAAAATCCGGCTTGCAGCAGCAAAGCAGAGAATACAAACTTGTCCCACTTCAAAGCACAAGGCCTATCTTTCACTAACTGCATAGCAATCCCAGCAGGGGTGACAATGAAAGCTTTCTTCCCTATTATTGTTTGAAACAATTACAGGCTATTGGTTCATATTAATTAGTTTATGTCTAGTATTAGGCAGCCTTAACTAGAAAAATGTTTTTATTACCAAATGATTGGAGAAACAAACAAAATCAAAAGCTTTTTCTTTTTTTTAATTGTTGCTTTTACCTTGGAAAAGTATTTTCAGGACTTTCACACTTGAATGTGAGTGTATCTTTACATAGGTCCCTGAATTCACTCTAAAAGAGTGTATAAGTGCACATGCCGGACAATAGCAGGCTAAGATGTCTAAATGAACTTCTCATTACTTGCTGTCTAAGGAGATTCTGCATTTAAATAATTTTAACTTTCTCTGAACACTGCTAATGGAAGAGAAGACATCAGGCTTAGAGGCAAGGGCAAGCTAGCCTTGGACTACGATTTGTACAAATTCCATTGGAAGACTAACATATAATTGGGCTCATAAATAATCAGAGGATCCTGGAACAAGTGACCCAATGGCCTTCATCTCTCCTAAGCCACCTCTCCTTGTGACCTAATGTCCCAGCTTATTGCTGACTCCTTCAAAATCGGAAGTTCCCAACATGTGGCAACAATAATGAGACAACAACCATGGTTGACATTGATAGAGAATTTGTTCAGCAGAAATGTCAAAAATCAGAGCTTGAATCCAGATCTAAGATTCCAAAGCCTGGGTAACCAGTAAACAACATAGGCTTCTTTAAGATCAATATTATATTACTTAATATAATATGCAAGGCCCTGCAAAATCTCCAGCTTTACAACCTAACTCGTGACATTTACCAGTTTCTGTAAACACTCCATCCTGGCTAATTTCAAGCTACCAGTATAAAGAAAAACTGGCTCACAAAATTCTTAAAAATGTAACAATTGGCCTTTGTGGAGTAGCAGGGGTGGTTCTAGGGACATCACTGTTTACAACCCCATGCCCTACTATACTGTGAGCACCTGAACCAAATTCTAAGTACTGCACCCGGTCTCACCTTGGGACATTTGACATCTGCACCTGCTCTTTCTTTCTCTTACTAAAATAATACACTCTTTCATTAGCTCCCTTCAAGAAGTCTTGCCTGATACTTTGAGTCCTTATTTTCTGGGTATTCTGCTTTACTCCTGAAACATCTCTACTTCCTGTCTCATGGCACTTGTGACACAGGGTTGTAATATTTTGTTCCCTAATCTGTGCATCTTCTACTATGTTTCTAAACTCCAGCAGGACAAAAGCCTTATTTATCTTATCTACACTTGTATCCCCAGCCCTGTAGAGCTTGCTAAACAGGAACAGTTGCTAATATCACAGGCAGAGGTGCCAGAAACTATTCTAAGTTTTATACATATTTTCTGAGATCATCTTTAAAACAACTCTCTGAGGATGGCTCCATTACTGCTCTGCCCATTTTGTATATGAGCATATGGAGGAACCTTCAAGGGGTGAGCATCTTTCCCCGTGACTCGGTCAGTAAATGCTGGAGGCAGGATATTAACCCAGACAGTGTGACTAGAGGGCCATGTGCATCCTTCAAGAAGTCAGCGTTTTTTGACCATTTTTCTTTTCATTAGTGATCCTCTAGGAAAAAAAATTTAATTAAATTTAAATTCTCTTTAATGGGAAATTAAATACTAAACAGCATTTTGCTGAGTAGCGTTAAGCTTTGGAGGAATTTTTCATCTCCCAAGATCCAAATTTGGCCCTCTTGGGGGCAATATCATTCTATTGGAAATGTATGTGCTGAACTTTTCACTTTGGATTTAAATTTATGTACCATATGTTTGTCCCTAAAAACACATCATTTTACAGTTTTAATGATATCTTCCTATAAGAATTATTTGCATCTTTCTCTGCCCCCCATAAGGTTCCATAGGGCAATATAGCTGTGTTGATAGCCTCATTTTTTAACTAGAACATAGTATTTCAATCATATTTACATACCTGAATTTATTAAGTCCTTCCACTATTGAATATTCAGAAAGTTTTATACTTCTTGGTTTTTAACCAATTCTTTGATGAATATCTTTATGCATTCTTGCTTGATCTCACATGTGAGAGTTTTTATAGGGATGTGCAAAGGTATATAATTTTTATATCTATTGTCAAATTACCACCCTCCACCCCCAAGTGACTGCACCAACTAATCTTCCCACAGAAAATTTATGAATACACATTTCCCCATGTGTTTATATTAAATATGGCCTTTTTCTGCCTTGGGTGGTGTTAAACATTCTAATTAAATGAGTCATTTGAAAGTATTTATATTACTCATCAGTAGTTTGTGTAACATGAAACGTGTGTGTGTAGACAGGTTGATGCTGTTGGAAATGCTGACAAATGGCAGGGACACTGGCATGCTAAAATACCTAGACCAAGAAACTGCTCTAGGGCCTACTCACTTCACATAAGGCTAAGAACAGTCATTACCTGAGAACAGCTGCACTGGACTTTGAAATGGTGATCTTGGGTAACAGGAACTAAATCTCTCTAGCCATTCTCTAAGACTCTTAGGCACCAAAAAGACTACTGAGGGTAAAGAAAACCAAACGTGCCAGGTCAATGGATGTTGAAAGGGAAATGATCCATTTATGAGAAAGAGAAAAAGCTCATGATGGAGGTAGCACTAAAATGCTAGAAAAGAATACTAAAGCTGTGAAGAACAGCAAGGACTTGAGCCACATGATAAAATCCCAGGTCTTTGCGAGGAAAACACTTAAAGTAAATGAAGTAAAAATGCCCCTTTTTCCTCTCTCCCTCTTTTCACTCTTCTTTAAAAAGAACAGGCACCCTTACTCAAAATACATATGAATTTCAATAGTCTGCAAAACACAGAAATAAAAGTGTGTCTCATCAAGATTCAAATTTCAATCCACATGGCTCTTCCTTTTTTTCTTTAACCTTGGCCTAAAAATGATTTTCATAAATGATTCAGAGTAATGCCACACTCTGAAGAGTGAAGCTAAAAAAAAGAACTCATGGGAAACTATACTCACTGAGCCCCTTCCATGTACCTTACATATATTCTATCATTTAATCAGGTGAGGAACCTGAAACTGAGAAGGGCGGCATGGCTGAGGCCCTTAACCCAGAAATCCAAGGCCCAGGGATGTGAACTGAGGCGTGCTGACTCCAAGTCTATTTCCCTATTGTACCACGCTGCTGCTGAGCCTAAACGAGTTTACTAAATACTCAGAGCAGGTTATCCAATAATCCAAACAAAGACAACGTCCCTGACGTACCACTGCACTATCCTTTGGTGTACAGGAAAATTACCTTGACTACCATCCAAAAGTTTCTAGAATTGCATTTTGTTTCCAAGTTCCTACAACAGGTCAGAGCAAAATGATAATTCTAAGAGGAAGACAACAGGGCAGCATTGCAAAACTTGATCCATTCTGAGTTATTTCATTAGCACCCTTACCCCCCCCAAAAAAAAGAAAAAGAAAGGGATAGCAGCAAAATTTACTACTCACTTGTCTTGATCTGGAGTCTGATGCCTAGAGTAACAGACATCCTAAAGCTCTGAAAACCAAGGCCCCTGCAAACAGAGGCCAGCTTACTAACATCACTTGTTCATTGTTCCAGCTGCTTCCTGAACTAAATGGCACCTCACTCACAAAAGCACCATTATCCAAGCACCCACCAAATCATAAGAGATGCACACAATCCCTATAGTTGAATGCTTCTTCTGAAACTCAATTTAAATATTCATGAAAACTATGATCAGCTCAAATCTCTGCTAGTGTGAATCACTTACTTACCTGGGGCTGTGAAATCAGAGGGGTGGAAGTAGAGGCAGCAGCCATGACAGCTCTGCAGCGGTAGGTGGTGATCAGGCCCCAGTACTACAATGCCAAACACAGAAGCCAATTCTTGTGGTCACTGATCAGATCAGGGTCATGCTAGGAGAAACTGTGAACCTAGAAAGAGACAGGAAAAGTCACAATTAGTGCAAGAGGACTGGTGCAAGGAGTGAAATACCATTGGCTACAGGAAGTAAAAATCCATACACCAAGTGCCAAATACTACAGCAAGAAACACAGGAATCCAATAGGAAAACTACAACATCTAAAAGCCATGACTTCTGTATCATTTGTCCTAGTGATATTAAGTGGATGTATTTTCATAAGTTTAAATTTAATTCTTATAACAGCTAGAAGTTCTGGGGAGGTTGTTCCATGCTAAAGAGATGATGATGAGGAGAAGCCATCCAGTCATTAAACAATAAACTAGAAAGAAAAAAAAATGATCCCCATTTGAGAGCTGATAGTTTATATACAAAGGGTAAAAAGAAAAAACCATCAAGTGGTTAAACCCTACCCATTTACAGATGAAAAAATAATTGAAGCTCAGAGGAGAGAAGGGACCAAATAATTGAACATTTTATTTAGTTCACAGAAGAGCCAGAACTAGAGCAAAAACAATCCCAATTCCCAGTCTGGCATGAAATGTAAGAAAGTCAATGTGGTCCCTGTTTATGTTTCCTCAAACAACTTGGTCACCATGTCCAAGATTTAAGACAAGCAAGACACTCAGTGTCAAGGAATAGAGCACACACTTCCATATGTGTGAGGAAGAAGAATTCCTACAGTCCTTCTGACATACTCCAGGAGAAGATGCAAAATAAGCACAAAATACAACAAAATTTTCTCTCCTTAATATGTTCACTAAGAAAACTTAGAAAGATGCTAAGTTCCCAGCAGGAGAGCATGGCCCCAGTTCTATCAAAACACTGAGATGATAGTTTCAATGTTGCAATTTAGTTCAGAAGGGGAATTTTTTTCGTCTTAAGAAATTAAGAAAATTCTTTCACTTTTTTTAAAAATTCATTTTTAGATGGTTTTCATCCCATCTAGTAATCTCCTTTTTTTTTAGCACTCCAAAGATATTTATGGAACATCTGCAGGAAACTAGGGACATAATGAAAAAGACCTAGTCAGCTCCTGCTGTAAACATATAGTTCCACTAACATGCAGGGTGATGCCTAAAATACTTCTAAACCCTAAGAGAATGATACTTTTCAAAATAGTAAAAGTAAACTGGAGTTCATATGACCCAAGTCTTCTGTAGAAGGAATAGTGAAGTTGGACAGTTAATATGAGTCCTCTGACCCCAAATCCTCTAGTGCTACTCTAGATTAGCTCAATGATACCAGGCAAGTCATAAGCTCAGAAGAGCTGCTTTTGTTAAAAATGACCTAGATTTCACAGCAACTTCTATGAACTCTTAAGTTTTATTTTATTCTGTCTTCATGTATTAATCCTTCAAGTTATAGGTCCAATCACTTTAGGTTCTAATTGTTTTGAACTGTGGAAACTTCCTATGCTCTTCTGTTAAAGTGATAATTTTTATTAAAAAGTAAATTATAAATCTCTCAAGCTATTTTAGCAGGACAATCAACACTGAATTCTATAGCTGCTCTGAGACAATACTGACATCCTTAGTCCTCCTTTTTAGAGGGAATAAAAGACCTGTTGTGTATCAGACTGTGAATTTAAATGAACAGCCCAGGAAACAGGGTATGTATACAGAAATGCCTTTCTTTATTCATGAGGCTTCCAGAGTGATAAGCCTACCCCAAGGGAATTACAAGACCCCCATCATGCACTGCTTTACACTGAACATATTCTTAGAGTCAATTTGTGCTAATCCCTTTTTTGTTTCTCTTTTCTCCTCCTTAGGTATTTACACTTCACATTGCCTTGCTTTATGCTAAGATGGACAGATGGATACATAAATGTATCATGATAGCCAAAAACAAGCAAGCAAGATTCCACTCTTAAACAATCATACTGTATGCTTGGTTTCAATTCATTTCAGTCAATCTCGGTCAATCAATATAACCTGAAGATATTTAGATACTTTCAATATTCACAGTGTAGAGAACTATCCAAAGGGCAAAACAGAGACCTGGCCTTTAACAAGGAAAGGATGTGGCCCACTAAACGAATATGTTCTATGGCATCATTGCTGATAGTCAACAAGAGAGAGACTGGGGTTCAGTGAGAGCCCACGGGTCACTGAAATCTGGAGCAGTCATAGCACGTACAGTCCAAGGCAGACACTGTTAGCTCACTTCAGAGGACACATTGAGGCTTTGAAGTGTTGTGTGACATACTTACAGCCACACAAGCAGTAATGAAGAGAGCTGAGACCTAAACCAGGATTGACTCTAAGTCCCAGCCCCTTTAAAATATACCAACCCTCCAAGTGAATGAGAATTAAGAGATAAAAAAATGCACAGAATATCTTAAAGGAAAAACTTCAGAGAGTCCTGCAGAAGGCAGGATGGAAGTTAGATGGCCTGTGGAGTGACCCTGTGACACAGAACCCTGGGCTTCTCTCCACTATATAAAACTTTGTGCCCCTTATTTCATGTTTCATATACTTGAGATGCCTAATCAGATTTTCAATTCATATTTTTAGAAAGAAAATAAGATGTAAAATTAACTTCTTTCCCATAAAGTATTTGAGATCTATCTAGTTTCAAGACTTTTGTTGAACTCATTAGCACATTACAAGCACTCTTTATAAAACAGTGCATAGTTACTTGACTCTGCCAAAAAGTAAGGGCTAAACAACATTAAAGATATAAACCAGTGTTCTCTTGGGAATAATGTCCTAAAATTACCACGTATCTATTTGCAAACTTATTCACAAAACTGCACAAATTATGGAAAAACGAGACATGTCCTAAGTAAAAATGCCCCTATCTAGCAGGGGAAGTTGGTTCACTTTGACATACTAGACCCTCCCACCTGACCAAAATCCCATGGTCAACTATGGAGTTGACCAAGAACTTTTAAAGAAAAATACCCTTCTTTTAACTCTTCCAAGTACTTGAATACCAGTCCCAGCTTTCTTCCAACCTGCCATCAATCTGACTACATTTCCTTTGCATGAGCTCCTAAGCTGTGTTCTAGCTACTGAAAACCACAAAGTAGTGTGGGTTTTCCCCACTGACATCAGTTTCTTCAGCTGCCCTTGGGTCATGATTTTTGTTCCTTCTTTCCTTCCCTAGTTGTCTCCATTTTCCATTAGGCATTTTTCTGATCTATATAACTCTTCTCAAAACTATAAACTACCTCTCTAATATCACTCACTTTGAAAAGCTGAGCTTTGTCATCTCTTCACTGGATTATTCTTCCTTACAGTCATTGATTATGTAATATGCAATATGAATTACCCCTACAATTTAAATCATATTCATAAAATACAAACATAAAAATTCATAGAAACAGAAAGTAGAAACAGAGGTACAAGGGCTGGGAAGAGGGAAGAATGGAGCATTAGTGTTTCATAGAGAGTTTCAATTTAGGATGATGGAAATGTTCTAAAGATGGAAAGTAGTGAGGTTGTAGCTCAGTGGTAGAGCACTTGCCTAGCACATGTGAGGCACTGAGTTCGATTCTCAACACTGCATATAAATAAACAAACAAATGAAGGTCCATCAACAACTAACTAAATAAATATATGGAAAAAATCTTTACCTTTAAAAAAATGGAAAGTAGTGATGTTTGTATAACAATGTGAATGTAATTAATTGCTACTGAATTGTACACTTAAAAATGTTCAAAAGAGGTAAGTTTTATGTTACATTCATTTTACCATTAAAATTTTTAAAAACGGGGGGGGGGGGGGGTTAAGAACATAAGCACTAAGAAATGACATGAAACTATTTCTTATATAAAGTAGCATAGTATAGTATTATATCTAGACTATCATTTAAAATGAAAAATATATGCAAATGAAATGAAATAGCAAGGATAATGCAAAATGACAAGTATAATTTCAGAAAAAATATAATTTCTAAATCAGAAAACTATGCAAATAATCATTCCTCTGTGACAGATTACCAGAGAAATGATCACCTGGATGTAAGAATAGGAAATATCTGAATCAATCACAAAAACTACCCCTGGATTGATCCTAATTATTGCTTAAATCTCCAAAATTATGTACTGGAAAGGAACACTGGGGGAGGTCTACAAAAGAACAAGGCACCATTCCCCCTTCATGTGAAACTGGAACTGCATATACAGAAAGTAAGCAAATGAAAACTCCACAGACCTGGAAGGATGCCCTCAATTCAGAGGGACGAGGGCTAAAGGGGACTAAACCAGGAGAAAGCTGGGGAACATGTAAAATGCACTACCTCTTTAAAAAGTGCTCCTGGCTCCAGAAGCCAGCCAAGTGAGTACTCTCTGGCTGCATTCACTCCTGATTTACATAGGGCCATGAAGACTGCCCCAGAACACGTGAGAAAGGAATGCTACTAGCTGGCTTCTGAGGACAGCAGCCATGCCAAGTGACAATGCCCTTGCTAATTACTGAGTGCCACACCAAATACCTAAGAGAAAGTCTCTGGTTTGAGGCAAACTTCCATTTGATTACTTATGGAGCCAATGCTGGCTTCCTCCCAGGCCTCACAAGAAGATGAATTTCTAGTTGGTAAATTAAACCACTACAAACCTTAACCTTTTTCCTTCTTCTGGATTTCAGTCAAGCAATGACTCATAGAAGTGTTTGAAAAAAACAGAGTGCAATACCTGAGACTGAATATGCATAACATTTGGTCTCCAAGGATAAGCAACAGAGAAAAACACAAATTTACCAGGCCAATAAGACATATAATTATAGGTCAAAATAACAGAAGACTCTAGAATCACAGCAAATATTTACTTGAGAAATAAGTGTACTACTTATTTCTCAAGTAAATATACTTAAAAGGGAAAACTTCAGAAAATTTCTAGCTCATGGTCTTAAAGTTGCTGAGGACATAGTAGCATCTTCCATGGTACAGGTGGTTGTGGAAAGAGATGCAAGATCAAAAAAGAGTATGCATTAACCAAAAAGAGGAAGAGAAAAGAAATCTGACTTATGGGCTTGAATGAAGGCAATCCATAAAGCAGAAAATAAA